ATGGCTGAATAATACATATCATATATATTATTATATATAATCTACATATACCACATTTTCTTTATCCATTCATCTGTCAATGGACACTTAGGTTGTTTCCATATCTTGGCTATTGTAAATAATGCTGCAATGAACATGGGGGTGTATACACCTTTTCGAATTAGTGTTTTCATTTTCTTTGGATAAATACCTAGAAGTGGAATTGCTGGATCATATGGTGGTGCTATTTTTATTTTTTTGAAGAACCTCCATACTGTTTTCCATAGTGGCTGCACCAATTTACATTCCCACCAACAGTGCACAAGGGTTCCTTTTTCTCCACATCCTCGCCAGCATTGTTATCTTGTCTTTTTGATCATAGCCATTTTAACAGGTGTGAGGTGATATCTCATTGTGGTTTTGATTTGCATTTCCCTGATGATTAGTGATGTTGAACATCTTTTCATGTGCCTGTTGGCCATCTGTATGTCTTCTTTGGAAAAATGTCTATCTAGCTCCTCTGCCCATTTTTTGCTATTGAATTGTATGAGTTCTGTATATATTTTGGATATTAACCCCTTATCAGATAATTCTTATTTTTGAGGACGATTTTTTTTCTGCTTTGGAATAATTACGCTTACACTACTTAACGTGGCATCCATATTTCTCCTGTGATTTCACCAAAAGCTGTAATAGTGAACTTTTTTCTCATGCATTCATTATCTAACCAGATCTTTATGTGTATTAACTATGTTTTCAAAGGTTGTCTCCCACAGGATATCTGTACACACTATGGTACTAATTCTAGGCCACTGCTGCTGGCCCTTTTTTTATTTCTCCCCACAGTCATCTGTGCATACAACTTTAGCCATCCTCTCTACATTGGTTTGCCAAATGGTCCTTCTCTAGCCTTGACTTTTCTCTTGGGCTTCAGTTCTACATTTCTGATAGTCCACTGGACAAATGTAACCGAATGTTCCACCCAAAATTTAACAAAATCAAAAATGAATCTCTTTTCCCTGCTCCCAAATCAGTGACTCCTGACTTCCCTTTTCCTGTCAATAGAGCTGCCCTTCTCTTGGCTGCCCAGGCTCCACTCTACTTCCTCTCTTCCCCCACAGTTCACCATCACATCCTACTATTTCTTTCTTCAACACAGCAATATCATGTCCTGGTGACATGATTATGAGTTTGGGAATGCTGGTTAACTGAGATCTCTATGCCTCACTTTCCTTATCTCTAATATAAGGTTAAAAATACATGCCAGGATGGTTTTGAAGATTACATGGTCCAATGCATACAACAACCAACAGCATATAAGCTCTCACTATATGTTGTTCTCTTCCCTGCCTTCCATTTCCATGGCCGAAATTATAGTAGTGTCCGTCACAATAACTCTTCCAAATGATTGCACTAATTTCTATACACTGCTTTTAATCTTTCCTCCCAAACACTTCCTAAAACACTATTTGGTTCATATTATGATCTCACCCAAAAGTCTTTAATGACTATCTAATTTTTAAAGCCGAGGTGTCTAAAGTTGGATGCATACTTCTTACTAAACTATAAACTCTTTTGGGAAAGGCAAGGACTTTTATATGTATTCATATTAGCTTTCCCTGAAGCACAGTGCATGCACCAGGGGCTCAGTGAACAAATTCTTCCAGAAAATGATTAAAATGATGATCTTGGGCTGGCCCTGTGGTGTAGTGGTTAAGCGCGCACGCTCTGCTGCTGGCGGCCCGGGTTCGGATCCCAGGCATGCACCGATGCACTGCTTGTCAGGCCAAGCTGTGGCGGCATCCCACATACAGGGGAGGAAGATGGGCACGGATGTTAGCTCAGGGCCAGTCTTCCTCAGCAAAAAGAGGAGGATTGGCATGGATGTTAGCTCAGGGCTGATCTTCCTCACAAAAAATAAATAAACAAACAAATAAATAAATGATGATCTTACCTGGAAGTTTGCTACAAAATATGAGAATTTATTTTCAGTATGCTAAATTCTTCAAGGACACTTTTAATTTCAGTTCTGACCTTTATATGGTCTTTCTTAAATCACTTCAAATATTTGGCAGCAATTTGCTTGACTGTTTTAGGTGTGGGAGCAGTGACTGATGGCTTCATCCTTCAGTATGTTTTTCTGTTCCTTGAAGAGATAAACATCCTGAATGAGTTGTATACTAGCTTCATAGTTATCGCCCATGTTCACTGGAAGGCAGTCTTATCAATAATCAGGCTCTGGATTCATTTCATTTTATATTGTATTTGTTAGTTATTAGTTTATGAGTCAAAAGTAATATGAAAGGTTTTTTTTAAAAAGATTGGAATATGTGGCACGTGTGCAGTACCACATTTACCCTAACACGGTGGGGGTTCTCAAACTTCTATATGTATATGAGTCACCCTAGACCTCTGCTGTGCAATACAGCAGTCACTAGCCATGTGGCAATGGAGCACCTGAAATGCAGACAGCCAAACTGAGATGTGCTGTGAGTGTAAAACACACACTGGATTTCAAGGACTGAATACAAAAAAAAAGGGATGTACAATACATCACTAACTTATATGGATCATATGTTGAAATGAAAATATTTTGGTTATAATGGGTTAAATAAAATGTATCAGAATTAATTTCATCTGATTCTTTTTACTTTTTTTAAAATGTGGCTACTAACATATTTAAAATTATATATGCAACTTACATTTGTGGTTCGTGTTATATTCCTGTTGGACAGAATTGCCCCAGATCCTTGTTTAAAACGTTTCCTGAGTTTCACTTTTGGAGATTCTGCTTTAGTAGTTCCAGGGCCCAGAAATCTGATACTTTTTAGCTCTCCAGTGATTCAACTGATAAGTCAGGGTAGGGAATCAACGTTTTATATGCTTTTGATCAAATGATTTTGATGGTCTTCAGTACCGCAAACAGTGATTCAAAGATAACAAAGAGAGTAACAGTTTTCAATTTCAATTGTGTAATAATTGCCATCCCATAATAGTCATACATGTTTTTCAATTTGCAAAACATTTCAAAATATAATCACAAGACAACCATTTTGTGGGAGTGGAAGGAAGGTGGGAACAATTAAGCAATATCTATCACAAATTTAAGTGCACATAAACTTTGACTCACTTCTGGAAATTGATCTTGCAGATCTTCTCACAAGCTTACCATGATATAGCTTTAATTCACTTTGGCACTGTTTGAAATAGTGAAAAATTAGAAAATTATTAAATAAATTATGATACATCCAACTGAATGCTACAATCAAGAATAAGGTCATCTATATGTACTGATATGGAAAGATGTCTATGATATTTACAAGGGGGCAAAGCAAGTTGCAGAAAAGTATATAGATTCTATTTGTATGTGAAACATACACATATATTTGTCTATACATAAAAAGTTTCAAAAACTGTTAATAGTGGAGAGATTTCCAGTGATATGGAAAGGAATTTTTACTTTGCTTTTTTATCTTTTTGTACTGTTTTAGTTTTTTTAGTATAAGCAATATGCAAATTTATATTGAATATTACAAAACGATATTCAAAAATATCATAATACCCAGCCAAGTGACTTCATCACTTAGGTTCCTGTTACAATTATTTGCTTTTCACTATTATCTTTCAATCTGGAATTTGGTCTTCATTTTAATTTTCTAAAAGCCACTGCATATATTCATTCATTCATTCAACCAATGGTTTCTGACAACCTACTTTATGCCAGGTACTGTTCTAAAGCAGAAATATAAAGAATGGTGCACAAAACCATGTGTTCCTTAGATGAGAAGGACAATAAACAAATGCACATGTAAATACTAATTAGTAATAAGTGCTATGAAGACCTCAACTTTTAAATTCAAAATGTTCAAATGTCATATGTGCTTGTGTGTGAGTGCATATACGTACATTTACTCACACATAGTAATTAATACAATCGTTGCCACTGAATTTTCTAAGTGTCGTTTGGATAAAGTATTCTGGGATATTTGTCAAATTAATCTTTCTCCTGCATTCCTTCTAATGAACTTAGTACAAAGAAATTAAAATAGCAAAGTTGTTCAGTTGTGTGAATTTAGGCAAATTACTTAGCTGCTTTAGGCCTCAATTTTCTCCTCTGCCAAGTGGAGTATTTACCTCTCGGGTTTGCTGTCTCAGGAAGAACTGGACGTGCTGACAGCGAGCGTCAGAGCAGCGCCTGGCACACGGAAGCGTGCAGCGGGGCGGGCCCCCGCGGGGCCTGGAGGCCGGCCTGGGGCCGGTGGGCCGCGGGAGCGCGGCGGGCCGCCTTCCTGAGGCGCGGTGTTTTCCCCGTGGACCGGAGGAGAAACGCGGCGCTTTCCCATTTTTTTTTCACGTCAGTGAGTCTGCCAGATGATTTCTCTTTCTGGGCGTGCGGCGGCCGCGGGGCGTCAACTCCAGCCAGGCGCCAGCCAACCAGCCAGCCCGCCTTCTAGTGGGGCATAAGCGGAGGCCGCCCTGCGCTGCAACACTCAAGTCCACTCGCGGCCCCGAGCCGCCCCATGCGTCTGGGGCAGACTTGGCTCGGGGCATGCGGGAGCCTCGCCTCCAACTGCGGCTGTTAGTTTGAATTCTGGCGCCACTCCCGCGCCACGTAGAGCCAGACTCCCAAGCGACGGATCGCAGCGCCGCCAGCGGACGCGCGCCGGGGACTGGGCGGGCGCGCGGCGGGCGGGCGGCGCGCGCACCACGCCCCGGAACGAGCCCCGAAAGAAAAGAGCCGCCACGCGCGCTCTCGCGCTTTCCCCTCGGGAGACGGCCACGCCCCCGTCTTCGCCCGAGTCCAATAGGTGCGAGGGGGCGGGGCGGCCTCGGTCTGACTCAGGGGAGGCTATATAGGGAACTGCTGGCGGCACCGCTCGGTCTTTTACGTCGGGATTTGGGAGCTGCTGCGTGGTGGTCGGTGAGAGGGCGTCGCGGGTGAGTATCCGAGCGCACTCGGATGACCCGGGCTTGGGTTGGTGGCTGCAGGCTGTGAAAAGGTTTTAGAGGTTTAAGCTTAGAGTGTTGAAAGCTTGCACGTCGGAAACACGCAGCCGGACTGCCACGTGTCCTGAGTCGAGGTGGCGGCGGACTTCCACCTGAGGCTGCTGCTGATGGCGCGGACGCTGCGCGCGGCCTGGGTGCCGAGCCCGGGCAGCCGGCCCGCTGAGCCTGAGCTGCGGCGGGAAAACAACCACATTCCCAGGATTTGGGGCGGGGAGTTAGGTTTACGTTAAGAGCAGGAGGCGTTTATTACTAAAGCGAATCTTTCTCCCGTCGCCAGACCGAACGGTTACTTCAGTGGGCAGCTCCCGACAATGCATGAGACTGAGTTGTACTGTGCCCAGATGGCGCTGTGTCCAGATCGGATTAATGAAGGGGACGGTTTTAGTACTGAAAATCTTGCACTGTGACGTACGATGAGAATGCTTTATTTTAAATATGTTGATCCACCGCAGGAACAATGGCTCTCAGTGTAACGGAGCTGTTACGTGGAGATGCTAAGGTATGTATTGTTAAGAGCTTAGTTTTTAAACTGAAGAAGTAAACCTGTTGATTTTTAGGAATAGAAGATGGTGCATCATTTGAAATTTACTTCTTTTTATTAGATGCAAAGGAAAATTTCAAAACATACGAGAGAGTATTTGCTGGAAAATTACTTGGTTAAAACCTGACAATCTTACCAGGTATGTGTTGGACTAGTACTTTGATTCAGTCCATGTGTAGTCCGTATGTAGGTTAAATGAAATTTTTTTTTGTCCTTGAACAGCATCCTGGGGCTTGATAAATACTAGTGAAGCTATGGGTGTCATTGACCAGCAGCTTCATTTTGAAGTAAGTTGTGTGGCTTACAAGATCTACTACAGTATCTCTAATACAGTACTTGGCTTTTGACCTTTGGTTTATGGTAAATGTCACCATAACATAGCTTAATGGATTATGGTCTAATCAATGATGAAACCTATCCCGAAGCTGACAACCTGAAGAAAAGCATGTACGGATTCGGCTTCTGAGATAAGACCAATGTGTAGATATGAAGTCATAAATTTTTGTTGCTTGGATTTTATAACTGAGGACGTTCTGTTTATAAGTCTTTTGGGGGAGTGGAAAACTCGGCTACTCCACAATAGTATGTTGTGTATTCTTTTTTTCTCTGCCAACAGTGAGGGGTCGCTGTCAGCCCATTGAAAAAGGCCAGTTTGCTGTGAAGTTCCTCAGGTGTAACCATTTCTGTGAGTGGAGATATTAATCAGTCAATACTGTGTCCTTGGTCTTAATCGATGATGATCCTATCCCGAACCTGAATTTCTGTTGAAAAAACTTAATACGGATCTGGCTTCTGAGATAGACCATTATAAGGACAATAACGTTTAAGTAAGTTCTGATGTTGATAGTCTTGTAAATCTCAAATGTTTTTCCTTTTCTAGGGCTAGTACCATGAGATTTACTTGTCATATGAAAAACTGGTGATCAGGAAAAGCTCTTCATTTTACGGACATGGAAAGAAAACATACAAATCAAGACGGGTTATATTGATTTTTAATTTTTTAAATAGATTCCGAACCAACATCGAATCTAGATTAATGTATCCATAAGATTCAAGCCATTTCTATTTAATCATGTCACACTATCCAAGAGGGTCACAACCTGTAAACCAGTAGGTTACTTCCTAGATCTATTTATACTTTGTAAGTACAGGAATACCTGTGGTACTAAGTATTTTTAATAGAAAATTCTTTTCCAGTTGCCCACCTTTGTAATCAAATTTTTCTGAATGAACTGTTTTACCTTTGGTCACCTGTTTGAATTTAAAATGCATAATTGTAATTAAAGCTGAGTGAAAGTTTATACTGACTATTGTGGGGAAATCCTCAGTACAGTATTTATGGAGAGAGAACTGTTGGGCAATCACAAGAATAAGGAGAGAGATGGAAGACCTTGGCTTCTGCAGGGTATAAGTATTGCCAAATTAATGTGGGGGAGAGCAGAGTGGAGAGAGGACCTGTTACTGGAGGAGAGAAAAATACCAGGCATCAAAATGATCGGCCTGATTATTAATTAAATCATGGACTATTTAGTCTTAATGTAATTTGAAAGGTTGTTTTAGCTAAAAAATGGGGAGTGAAACTTAGAATAAAGGAAGAAAACACAGCATAACGGGTCAGGAGGGGAGGTCACTGAAATCTGGCTTAAAACTAGTCAGACATTGCACAGAATGGACTTAGTGTAAACAGTAATAGCATCTGATCTAAGCAAGATGTCTGGGCCCCATGCATGATCATTTTCCCTAAATAACTGCATGAATAAATTGTTCCCAAGCCATATTTAAATGTCAGTCAAAAGCCAATATTTTTGTCATCTTATACTGAACTGCCAACTTTTTCCTAAAATGTTTGTTTTCCTGCATTAGTGAAAAGAATTCAGTTTGGGTCCCGTGCAGTTCAGGAGAGACTCATGAGACTGACAAACCTGCAGTTTGGTGGCTAGGCACGTTAGTCACTTTTCCCCAAATGTTAAGACAATGTATAAAATGGATCTCTGGAAATGTTTCTCATAGCCATATTAAATACAAAGTATTAATGCCACCACATAGAGATGAAGCACTTAGTATTTTGGGTACCTGCACATTACTGAAAAAACCCACAGGTACAAGGAATTCCAGTGACTGTACATGGTTAAGTATGGTTCTAGGAAAATGAACCTCAGCAGCTACTTTGCAGGAAATTAAGTCGCCTTAAGGCTTCCAGAAATCTAGCAATGGAAAAGATCATTTGGCATAATGGGTTACGTAGAATTATCTTATATTGCCAAAAGAAGGAAAACTGGGACCTTACACATTTAGAGATAAAAGGCACCTTCAGGTGAGATAGTGTATGTAAAATGCAGCAGTTGACAAAATCTTGCCTCTTAGGACACCTACAATTGCTCAATGCTACAAACTACTTCCAAGTAGCATTGTTTTGATAGCCTTGTTCTTTATTACATCTTTGTTGTTACATGTATTTAGACATGAGTAAACAGTGTTTGACATTGCAGTCTGCACCCTTGATCCCTGCTGTATTTGGAACTTGAGCATACTCTAAGATCTATGTTTTCATTCACTGATGTGTCTTAAGTACCTAGGTATCTTAACTACCTGGCACTTTAGGTTGTACATTAAATGTGACATGAACAATAAATGATGAAAGATTAATTGGGGTCTTACACAAAATGAGGAAAAAGTGTCTACTCTTGTCAAAGCTGGCAAACCACTTTAAAACAAGGCAAAGTTGTGAAATAGGCAAATTTTGCTTTAGAGCCCCCGACCTCTTTTCCTGCAGTTCCTTCTCGTTTTGCTCCTTTCCCTCCCAGTGGATCTTGTAATAGGTCACATTTCTTTAGTTGATATGATCCAAATCAAATTAGTAATGTTCATTTACTTTGTATAAATATACTGTACTAGTACTTCGTACTAATATATTGTGCTCTGCCAAGAGGGTCAGAGATGAAACACTTCTATGTCTACCGTATGTCAATAGTGGTACAAGATGCCAAGAAAAAAATCAAAGGCAAGCTATAGAGATGGCAAAGTGCTGTGGGAGAGTTTGAACAGGTGAATTGGAGTCAAAACCAGCTCAGATGTGGGAAGACAGATTTAGGCATAAAAAGCACTGAGCAAAGATAGTATGCTCCAGAACTATAGGATGACAAATTGAGAATTTAGGTAGCAATTGGATGGATAGATGCGGGACGAAAAAGGATAAGGCTGAAATGTTAAAAAATACCCTTACTAAGGTTTTTGAGCAAAATAACTAAAAGGCAACTAGCCATTTGACACATTTAGTAGGAAGATACACAGTCAAAGTCACTTTGAGTCCTGTTGACTGCAGGGTCCAACTTGAACGAGAAATTAGTTTGGGTCCGAAAGAGGTATAATTTTAGTGGAATTAAACTCGAAAGCTCAGGGCCGGCCCTGTAGCTTAGCGGTTAATTGCACGCGCTCCGCTGCTGGTGGCCCGGGTTCACACCAACACACCACTTCTCCGGCTGTGCTGAGGCTGCATCCCACATACAGCAACTACAAGGCTGTGCAACTATGATGTACAACCATCTACTGGGGCTTTGGGGGAAAAAATTAATAAAAAAATTTTAAAAAAACTTGAAAGCTCAACATGTAATTATGTAATGTTGCTTCCGTTAAAATTACTAATTGGTTCATAGCTTTTAGTACATACCTGGATGGCACTTTGCATTCACCCAGGGGTTTTATTAAGAGTCTACTAGCTTGATTTATGAATACTGACTTATTGGGTGATATCTTTTATTACTAAAACAGGTAACGACTAAGTCCAGGGACCTTTAAGTTGTTAGCTGGGTAAGGGATTTAACCCTCAAGAACATATCTGCAACTTTATAATAGAGAACTCGATGGAGACTTGAAAGCCGTAAAGACATAAAGGAACAGTACTATGATAGACTGGCATCTGCTTTATTAGGGCTGGTTTCAGAAGCTGAAAGAGCAGAATCGGCATCTGTCTGGCTTTGGTGACTTTAGCAAATAGAAATTCTTTTTTCTCTGCCTTACACCATGCTTACAGGTTATCTTAAAATACAGTAGGCTCAAACTTACCATTTGGTGCTTTCTAAAGTTCTATTGCCAGAAATCCAATATCCACTGCACTTGGCTTCCCAAACAAGTGCCCTCTGAACTGATTGTGCCCAGTCTTGAAAGAGTTTTTGGCTGTTTTCGTGGTTTTTACACTAGTTCCCTAGTTAGAACTAGAGCCTTTATTTGAATCCCAGCCTACTGGGATAGCCGGCTTCTTTTGTCAGTCCCTCCTCTCTGGGAGTGGGACCCTTCTTCCCATCTTTCCTCCCAAAAGCTGGGTTCCAGCTCCAAATAGTACTTAAAGCATAGTATTTACAGTTGCCTCACTGAAGAGTGCCACTGCCTCTGGCCTTGCTCCACCTCACCGATTCTACACAATTGGGTATGTGCAGACATCAGATGAAAACACAAGTGTGCCATGAAGTTGGCGGAAATTTAACGGAACATCTTGGAGGTGGGGGAGAGGGTGCCTTTCCAATGAAAGAACCAGGCACCTTGGTCTTATTCTGATTAGTCCTGGCCTCCTCCCCTTACTCCTAGTCCATTACTGAGGTCCAGGCATGCCATGTGGCTGAGTTATAACAGGAAGTAGGATTTAATCTCAGAATCTCAAATCGAGTACAGCATAATCCAACCTATTTGGGGACTTCATTTTATTAGTTATGCTTACTCAGTTGATTCTAAAAAGAGTACTAACAGTGGAAAAGCATTTCAGGATATTCAATCATTTGAAGAAAATAACATTTACAAATACAGTGCATTACTTAGGTCAGGAAACTTTTGATGTAGCTTTGCCTCCTAACTATTGATTATAATTGATGTACAATAAATTGTACATATTTAAAGTGTACAGTTTGATGAGTTTTTCCATAGGTATACACCCGTAAAACTGTTACCATAATCAAGATGACGACTGTCCTCTCCCAAAAGTGTTCTCTTGTAGAGGCTTGATTTTGAACTTGTGTTTGAGATGGTGTGTGATGTCCAAATGAGATTTTGAGTTAGATATAGAAGTCTGGAGTTCAGGGGAGAGATCTGAGCTGGAGAAATAAAACTGGGAGTTACCAGCGTGTGGAAGGTATGCTTAAAGCCATGAGATTAGATGAGATCACCATGGGAATGAATATAGAGAAGTGTTCCAAGACTTGAGTTCTGGGACGTTCCAAGAGTAAGACATTCCAGGTTTAGTTCAAATCCTAGAGATTATTTTGTGCCAAGGGACAAAAATTAGGAAGCAGAAATCCAATTGCCATATCTGGAACAGAAACTAGATAGAAAATCAAGAAGTTCTGGAATGAAAAGCAAGGGTGAGAATTTAGCAAATAACTGCTTGGGTGATGGGCTGGACATGGCCTTGGCTTTAATGCAGAGCATTGGTCAGCATGGAAATCAAAGGAGTTGATATCTGAGGACAGCTTTGTAAAGTATCAGGCAAAATGGTCTTCAGGAGAGAATGAGATGAGGAATTGAAGTGTGGTAAGAGTTCATCAGACACTGGACTTAGAGAAGTGGAGTCGACTATGGACAAGTTAGAGGTCTCCTTGCAGCACTCAAGTGCCTGCTGAGGCTGAAAACTACCAATTTTAAAAGTTAATTAGCGGGCCAGCCCCGTGGCTTAGAGGTTAAGTGTGCGCGCTCTGCTGCTGGCGGCCCGGGTTCGGATCCCGGGTGCACACTGAGGCACTGCTTCTCCGGCCACGCTGAGGCCGCGTCCCACATACAGCAACTGGAAGGATGTGCAACTATGACATACAACTATCTACTGGGGCTTTGGGGGGAAAAAAAAAAAAAGTTAATTAGCTTGATTCACTATTCTCCCATGGAGCTTATCTGCCTGGAAGCACAAAGCAGATAAATGGATTAATCCAAAATTGGGGATGAACTGGCCAGGAAGAACAAAGTAAGGACAGGCCTAGAGAATTGAGGAGGTAGGTTAAAGTGTTAAAATTATTGACCTTGACATCTAGGCTGATTAGGGAAAAAAAACGAGAGAGTGCTGGAAAACCATCCCAGGTAATGACAAAGATCAGATGTACCATGGAAAGATGCTGATGAAAATGAGGTAAAATAAGGTCCTCTCCGGTTATACTACAAAATGACCTATAGCATGCTGTATTCTGATTATTGGTTTATCTCTCTCTAGCCCTAGAGTGTGAGTTCTTTGCAAGCAGAAACTGCACTTTCATCTCCTGAACTCTGCACCTAGGACAATGTAATGGCTCCCATAAAAAAAATTTGTCTAATGAAATGGAATTCAGTA